GGCTGTGCTGAGCCCATTCTGTGAGGAAGGAAGATGAAACTCAGAGCGGAGGCCTCGTGCTGTGTGACACAGTTAAAAAGAGACTCAGGCCCAGGGCTTTTGATTCAGCACCTGCCCCCGCAGTTCCCAGCCATGCATCACTAGAACACCATTCTCACCAGTGGAACAGGACAATTCCTCAGCTGCCCCCACAATTTAGGAAGGAGTCCCCTAGGTGAACCAGCTCCCTCAGCCCTGAATCTGCCCTCAGAAGGCAGCCTTCTGCCCAGAACGAGGATGGAGGGGTGCAGGCAGAGAACCGTTTTTTTGGTGGAGGTCCACGGGACAGAGCCCAGAACTTACTGTCCATCCATCTTGGGCGTGTCCTCCCCAGCCGCCCAGGCTGACTAGACCAGCGCAGGAACTCCTGCATGCTCGGAGGGAGCCCTGATTCTTAGAACTGTCTTCCTATAGCAGTCCTCTCAGGAGCATGTCGCTGTGGTTTGTGGTTCTGTCCGTGGGTGCTGCTGCATGGGAGGAGCCAGCTCTCTCCCTGCCCCACAGATCATGGAAGGCAGTGACCATGGGCCACTGACGCTCCTGCAGGCTCCCCACACCCATCCATTAGGATGGCACACATGTGCCAGCCAGGAATGGGGGGACACAGCCATGAATCCGACAGAAAGGCTCCTGCACCTCTGGAACTTGTGCTTTAGCAGGGCAGACAGATCCCACAGAAGTGTATGTGTAGGGGTTCTGAGGATGACGAATAGGATGAGGCACAAGAAGGTGACCGTGACCATGTGAGACAGGCACTGTCCCTACTCTTATCACTCTATTTTTGTTTCTTCGGGTTTTTTTGAAACAGGGTCTCGTTCTGTCACTCAGGCTGGAGTACAGTGGTGTGATCATAGCTTACTGCAGCCTTGATCTCCCGGGCTCCAAGCAATCCTCCTGCTTCAGCCTCCTGAGTAACTAGGACTCCAGACACGCACCACCACCACCATACCCGGCTAATTTAAAAAATTTTTATTTTCAGTAGAGATGGGGTCTCACTATGTGGCCCAGGCTGGTCTCAAACTTCTGGGCTCAAGTGATCCTTCTGCTTTGACCTTCCAAAGTGCTGGGATTGCATGTGTGAGCCACCATGCCTAGTTGGCTGTCCCCACTCTAAAGCAGACAGCCCAAGTGGGGGCAAAGTTGAGAAGCAAACCCACACTTTACTCCAAAGCCTCTGAAAATCCTCCCTTGTGTCCTTCCTAAGAAGTGTCCCAGAGTCTCTGTGTCATCCCTGAAGCTGAAGTCAGTCCATTCTGGGAGCAGAGTCCAGCTGCGTCCTGTGTTTTGGGCTAAGAAGAATTTAAGATTCTGAGTGTGAGCTGAGCAAGGTTGTAGTAAGGAGGGCAGTGATGTGATGAATCGTTTAAGGGGTGCAGCTGCCAGATGTGAGTGGGTGAGGGCAGATGTGAGGGGCATGAGCCAGCTATGTGTGGGGGTGGCCAGACCTGGTGGGGGGGCACAATGGAAACAATAGGGGAGCAGGCCAGGTGGGTATGCGGAAGTGAGACACAGTGGTAGGATGAACCGGGAGGGGGTCCAGATGTGAGGGGCTGGAGAACAGATGACCCCCAGCCTCAGTCTTTAGGAGGGTGGCTGTCCCTGGGAAATGGATGATGCAGTCTGTGGAGGAAATGCGCTTTCTATTTAGGGAGGCTGTTTAGGAGTAGCTGACGACATGCCCAGCACCTGGATGGGTGGAAATAAACAGAGACATGAAGCAATAATTTATGCTGTGTCCTCTGTCAACCTAGCCACCACCTCCTCCTCCCTGGGCTCCAGGAAGTTGCTCAGAGTTGTGGAGCTGGGAGGAGACTGCGGGAGCTATGCTGGTGAAGTGATGCTGTCATCTGAGCTTGTGCTTTACACACTGCGCTTTTTTTTTCCTTTTTTTTAAGACAGAGTCTTGCTCTGTCACCCTAGGCTGGAGTGCAGTGGTGCAATCACAGCTCACTGCAGCCTCGACCTCCCAAGCTCAAGCAATCCATCCACCTCACTCTCTTGTATAGCTAGGACCACAAGTGCGTGACATGACATCTGGCTAATTTTTATAATTTTTTTTGTAGAGACAGGGTCTCACTATGTTGCCCAGGCTGGTCTCAAACTCCTGGGCTCAAGTGATCCTCCTGCCTCAGCCTCCAGAAGTGTTGGGTTATAGGCACAAGCCATCATGCCCAGCCCCCTCCAGGCCTTTGTACCTTCTGTGTCCTTACCTGGAGTACCTGCCCCTTGAACTACCCATTGAACTCTTTATTTAGTGGCCCACCTCCTCTAAGAAGGCCCCCCTCATATCCAGTCTGTGGTTCCTAAATTGCAGCTAATTACTACCCCATGAGCTCACACATTAGAGTTGGAAATCTACTTTCAAATGACCCCACTTTGTGTCTAAAAGATTCCTAGGTTTGATTGGACTCTGAGCTCCAAAGGGCAAAAGGAAATGTTTATTATTTTCTTCCATATCTTACAGAGCTTCTGGGACAGCCATGGAGGTAAGCCATTCCTGTCTCCCTTCAGGAAAGAACTTGCTATTCACCCACAAGGAGGGCAGTTAGCTTACAGCTTCTAACAAACATACTTTGCCTAGAGGACACGGTGGGTTGGCCAAGACTTTGTTAGATCTGCAGCACAATCTGAGGCTCTCCCAGCCTTTTCCTGCTTCCTCTCCTTCACTGGCCTTTCCACTACCCCCTCTCCCCACAATAAACCTCTTGCACTTCTATATTCATCTCAGCGCTTGCTTCCTGGAGGACCCACATGGCACAGCACCCCACCTGCTGGATCATAAGTGCTCAGTTGTGAAGTAAACGGAACTGGGGATTCTCTAGAGGGTAGAGGGAAGCTGGAGCCTGGACCTCGGAGATCAGGAGAAGAGGGGCTGTCCACGGAGGATGCTGCAGTCATAACGAGAGCAAGGTCCAGAGCAGTGTGAAGAAGGGGCCATGCCCCTGGGGCAGGACCCAGCAATGGGGAACACACAGGGAGCTCAGGGATTCACCAGCCCTGCTGGCGTCCTCTCTAGCTCCTCCGCTGTCTGGGGCAGCTGTTGCAAACTCAGCAATGTCCCAGGAGACAGGGTCCAAAGAGCCCTGGCCTTGGACTTTTGAAAACCAGGTTCAATTTGTGCTTCCCGCTAGTCAGGTGACATTACACTCTTCTCTCTGGAGCTCAGTTTCTCCATCTGTAAAATGGGCTTATAATGTGTCCCCTCCCTTCAACCCCAGCATGATTTTGAGAATTGACTGAGAAGATACTACAGTTTGTGGAGGGCACCCTGTTGCATAGTTTAAATGCACACTCAGGCCAGGTGAGGAGGCTCACGCTTATAATCCCAACACTTTGAGAAGCCAAGGTGGGAGGATCACTTGAGCACAGTAGTTCAAGACCAGCCTGGACAACATAGCAAGACCATGCCTCTACAAAAAATTCAAAAATTAGCTGGGTGCAGTGGCACATGCCTGTAGTCCCAGCTACTTGGAAGGCTGAAGCAGCAGGATCATTTGAGCTCAGGAGTTTGAAGCTGCAGTGAGCTATGACTGTGCCACTGCACTCCAACCTGGGCAACAGAGTGAGATACTCTCAAAGAAAAATAAATACATACATATTCATTTAACCCTTGCAGTGGCCTTGTGAGGGCAGCATTATGACCACCATTTTATGTATATATATATATGGATGGATGGATGGATGAGATGGGGGTCTCACTTTGTTGCCCAGGCTGGAGTGCAGTGGTGCAATCAGAGCTCACTGCAGCCTGGACCTCCTGGGCTCAAGCAATCTTCCTGCCTCAGCCTCCAGAATAGCTAAGACTACAGGTGTGGGCCACCAAAGTTGGCTAATTAAAAAAAATTTTTTAGGCAGGGCACGGTGGCTCACGCCTGTAATCCCAGCACTTTGGGAGGCCAAGGAGGGCGGATCACAAGGTCAGGAATTTGAGACCAGCCTGACCAACTGGTGAAACCCCCGCCTCTACTAAAAATACAAAAATTAGCCAGGTGTAGTGGCACACGCCTGTAATCCCACCTACTCAGGAGGCTGAGGCAGGAGAATCGCTTGAACCTGGGAGGCGGAGGTTTTTAGAATGGGGTCTTCCTACGTTGCTCAGGCCAATTTTGAACTCCTGGCCTCAACCAATCCTCCTGCCTCAGCCTTCTAAAGCACTAGGATTGTAGGCCTGAATCACTGCGCCAAGCAGAGAAAACTGGCTCTTCTAGGTCAAGGCATTGGCTCAAGAACACATAGCTAGCAAGCCGGCATAGGTGGGATTAGAACCCAATTCTGTCTGGCTCTAGAACCCCTTCACTATTTGAGGCACAATTTACTGCGTGACTACTGGCACTAAACTTTGGGTTGGGGGCGGGGCCTGAGGTAGCTCCTGCTCTCATACATTCTGAGAGAGTTTGACAATAGGCAACTACATACAAAAAAAAAAAAAAAAAAAAAAAAAAAAAAAATTCCAGAATGCATCAGGGCTCTAGAAGGGGAACAAAGCGGGTGCGTTTATAAACTTAAAATAATCAGAGGCAGTATCTTCAAGGACTGTGAGAATGCCCCAAGTCGGGGCAAAAGTTTTGGCTGTTCGGGGAAGTGATGAAAGGCCAAAGTGGCTGCAGCGAGCGTGGACCCGGGAGGTCACCAGGCGCGTTGGTGCGAGTGGGGGAGGGCCGCCACGGACACCTAAAACCCACGGTATGCCACGCAAGGGGTTTCAGCATGTCCTGAAAGGCCCGATACCCCCGGACCGCTGTGAGGGGGGCAGAGGGAGGTCTCTCGACAGGACGTGGCCTTAGCCGAGGAAGGTGGGAAGCAGGGGCTGGCACCTGCGACGCCCCACCCGCCTCCCGTGGCCTAGCAGCAGGGCGGGGCGAGGCAGGTCCCGCACCCCTACCAGCCAGCCCGCTCCCACCCAGCCCTCGGCTCCCACAACTCGCGGGGGTCCTCGCCCGGGCCCCCTCGCCCCGCCCGGCTGGTGACGTCACGGCGCTCGTCGGCGCCGCCTGTTGCGTCACGGGTCGGGCCAGCGGGGCGTTCTAGGGGTCTTTCGCTCTTGGCGCCGCAGGCGGCGGGCGCGTGCGCAGCCCGATGAAGAAGGTGGTTTCCAAGCAGTCTCCGCCCAAGTTGATTGGTAGGTGCCCTCCCCGCGCGGGGCGCCGGTTGCTACGGACGCAGTGGCGGCCGCTGGCTGGCGGGCGTGCGCGGCGTCGCCGCGGGTGCGGCGCAGCCTCGGTGTCTCGGGGCCGGGCGGTGCAGGGTCACGCTCACCGCCGGGACGGCACCATGAAGTCTCTAAAGAAGGATTCCCGCCTCAAAATAACTCCAACCAGATTATTAGAGGCCGCAGAGAGCTTCAAAGGTTGGCGCTGACTGCCTTGGGCGCTCAGGAGAACCCGACAGGGGAAGCGGTCCCTGGAATAAGTTCAGGACACGGGGCCTGGAGGATGGGGATGGCACCAGGGATGGAGGAAAGATCAGGGGAAGTAGGGTACTGGGGATAGGACCCTTAGGGATGAGGGGGGCAAGGCAGGAAGAACCCACAGCGCACTGGGCCTTGAGAATGGGGACATAGGAAGTGGGAGACTGACAGAGAGGCCTCAGCGACCACTGGCTGGGGAGATGGCCTTGCGCAGGCAGGGATACCTTTACCTCTAACCACATCTTCGGGTGGCATGCAGGAGGCAGGATCCCCAGACTGGATGAGGTGCAGAAGAGCCAGGAAAGAGTTTAAGGGTAGAAGGGCCAGGAATTGGGGTCCTTGGGAAGAGGAAAGAATGGAGTGGTGAAACCAGCCACCTTAATGGGGTTCTTCGGTAGAGGAGGGTTGATGGGGGGCAGGCGTCACTCAGGATTCCTGCTGGAAAAACCCAGAAGAAAAGCCTTGCTTGGCTAGTTCTGTTTTTGACTGCCTTTTCCTACCACGTGCACTTTCCAGCTGGATGACACTTATCCAGCTCCTTTAGCCTGAAAAGAGTCGCTAGATATGACTGCTTCCTGGCCTCTACAGCTTCCTTCTGGTTGCACCTGGGAGAGCCACAGGGCGTCTGATAGCGGACGACTTCCACGGACATGTTCTCATTTGCAGCCCACCCCCTTTTGATCTTTTTTTGCTGTTTCCATTTATTTATTTTTAAATTTCATTTTTAGCCCTTTTTTTGTGTGTGTGTGTGTGGAAACAGGGCTCTTGCTGTGTTGTCCCAGCTAGTGTCAAATTCTTGGCCTCAAGCGATCCTCCTGTCTCAGCCTCACAGACTGCTGGGATTCTAGGCATGGACCACTGCGCCCAGCCTGGTTTTGTTTACTGAGAGCTAGTTTTGTGTGGTACTGTGGCTCACCAGAAGGGTATCGGTATTAACTGTGTGACCCTGGTCCTCAAGAAACTCAGTCTAATGAACGCCTGGAGGAGTAACCAGACAAAGGTAGAAATACAAATGCTGCAATGTAGGTGCCCATCGGGCTTCAGGGGGCTCAGAGCACCTGAGCTAGACCAGGGATGGTTGTAGGGGGACGTCTTCTGAAGAAGGTGACATCTATGGCAGACAAGGAAAAAAAAAGGAGAGGTTTGCTTCTCTAGGTCTAGGAAGCAGCATGAGTTTATGAAACTGTAAATGTGGGAACCAGAAGAGGCTGCACAGTGGGTAGGGCAGGGGCCAGACCATGAAAGGGCTTTATGTACTAGGTCAGAAAGCCTGATGTGCTCTTGCAGGCCCTGGGGAGACCCAGCCTCAGAGTTGTGAAAGCTCAGTGTGAGGAGAGGGGACGCTCAGAAAACTAACAGGAGCTTAGTCGCTTTTCAGTATGGCTCTATGTTTCTTCATGTATAAAAGTCCAACGTTGAGCTGGGCATGGTGGAGCACATCTGCAGTCTCAGCTGCTCAGGAGGCTGTGGCAGGAGGATTGTTCCAGGCCAGGAGTTCATGATCACACCTGTGAATAGCTGACTGCATTCCAGACTGGGCAACACAGTGAGACCCCCATTATTAAAAAAATAAAAGTCCAATGCTGTTTTATGACATTATATGTATATATGTATTTTGAGACAGGGCCTCGCTCTGTCACCCAGGATGGAGTGCAGAGGTACAATCATAGCTCACTATAGCCTTGAACTTCTGGGCTCAAGCGATCCTCCTGCCTCAGCCTCCCAAGTAGCTAGTATTACAGGTGCACACCACCATGCCCGACTAATTTTTTTTTTTTTTGTAGAGACAAGTTGCCCAGGCTGGTCTTGAACTCCTGGGCTCAAGCGATCCTCCCACCTTGGCCTCCCAAAGTGCTGGGATTACAGGCGTGAGCCACCATGCCTGGCCCATGACATACTTTTTACTAATTGAGAGAGAGGGAATATCTGGTCCCCTTTCCCAAGGGCAGTCAAGGGCTTTCCTAGCTACTGCCTCCTGCTCACATAGTTTCTGGGAGATCTTATCAGATTTGAACTGCTATAAACAAATCAAGGAAAGATTTTTTTACTCCATATTTATTTTTAATAAGCAGAAAATTTAGTTTGTTAATTAACCCTTGAGTTAAGAACATGCACCAGAGTGAGGAGGGGAAAAAAAATGAAGTGGTTAGCATGCAAGATATCTTTTTAAAAATATCTCAGGGAAGCCTGTAATGTTGTAGTGCAGTACTCTCCCCCAGCCCCCATATAAGGCAGCTAATGACCAAATGTAATCTTGTAACCTTGTGCGATGTTTCTCCAAAGTCTCTGATGTCTTAAGCAAAAAGGAAAGCAAAAACAGTGACTTAAACCTGTTTCTTGGGACCTGAGAGCCTTTTTGAGTCCCAGTACCCTGCCTTCCCACCATGTGCCCCCCTACCCCTGCTGTCTTGTTGCTAAGAAGCCAAGAACCCTCCCAGCAGTATTAGATTCCCCTCCCCAACGAATTAAAGCTCCGCCCTAGTAAGGACAGCCCCTGCATGGTTCCCCCAGCCCAACCCTAAGGTCAGAATTTCCCAAAGACTTTAGTCAACACTAAAACCAAATAATACTCAGATAAAACAAGAAGCAGAAAGAGTCCAGGTTTCGTCTCCCTCCATAGTTCCCCCCTCTGCATCTCCCTTCCTATCCCCACCTGAGCACCTTGCTTCCAGCCCTCTGGTCCAGCTCCAACAGAGACTGACTGATTACCCCATGCAAGCGGGGTGGTCTCTTTTACCCCTCACTGTCAGCATCAAGGGAGAAATGTCAGCTGGGTGGCTCACCAGGAGCCCTATAGCTTGGGATTCCAGACCAAAGAACCAGAGAGTGCTGGGCCTCTACAGGCTCAGTAGTCAGACATACCTCAGCCCTGTGGAGTCTTCCTGCAGGTCCTAAAATGATCCCTGGGGCTCTTCCTTCCCTGGTCTTCCCAGCTTGCCTCTGCCTCTCTGGTCCATCTGGCTCTCCGCATCTGATGAATCATTCTGAAATGCGCGTGTCATCAACTCACTCCCTGGACCAAAGATCAGATGCCTGAGCCATGCTTTACAAAGCTGTCATGCTCTGGTTTCCCTCTCATCCCCAACATCACCACCTCCCCAGCAAGTTTTCTGTGTTATCGTGCCACTCACATGCCATGCTCAGCCCTGCTTCTTGGTTTGCTTGGACTTTGACCTCACCTGGAGCATCCCGGTTTGCTGCTATACCTGTACCTCTCTCTCCTTCGAGGCCTGCCTCAGCCTGTGGAGCCACCTCTGCAGCTGTTCCTCTGAACCCTTCTTCAGAGCCCTGAACTGTGTAATCCACATGGATCTGTTCCTTTTTTGATGTCTAACCAAACCTATTGCCTGTACTGCAAATGTAGGAACTCCTCTACTATGTTATGATTGGTGTATATTCACGTCTATTACATTTTTCAGTACCTCAAGAGAAGGAGCCATATCTCAACCTTTTATACTAGCTTTGTAGTTTATAGCACATAGAAGAGGCTTGGTAAACGGTCCCTAGGAGCAATTTAAGATATATATATATCCCTGGGCACAGTGGCTCATGCCTGTAATCCCAGCACTTTGGGAGGCTGAGGTGAGCACATCACCTGAGGTCAGGAGTTTGAGACCAACCTGGCCAACATGGTGAAACTCTGTCTCTACTAAACATACAGAAAATAGTTGGGTGGCCGGGCGTGGTGGCTCATGCCTGTAATCCCAGCACTCTGGGAGGTTGAGGCAGGTGGATCACCTGAGGTCAGGGGTATGAGACCAGCCTGGCCAACATGGTGAAACCCTGTCTCTACTAAACATACAGAAAATAGTTGGGCGGCCGGGCGCGGTGGCTCATGCCTGTAATCCCAGCACTCTGGGAGGTTGAGGCAGGTGGATCACCTGAGGTCAGGAGTTCAAGACCAGCCTAGTCAACATGGTGAAACCCAGCCTTTACTAAAAATACAAAAATTAGCAAGGTGTGGTGGCTGTCTCTTATACACATCTAGATGTGTATAAGAGACAGTCCCAGCACTTTGGGAGGCTGAGGTGGGTGGATCACCTGAGGTCAGGAGTTCAAGACCAGCCTAGTCAACATGGTGAAACCCAGCCTTTACTAAAAATACAAAAAAAAAAAAAAAAGCTGGGCGTGGTGGCGCATGCCTGTATTCCCAGCTACTTGGGAGGCTGAGGCAGGAGAATCACTTGAGCCTGGGAGGCGGAGGTTGCAGTGAGCCGAGATCGCACCAGTGAGCCAAGATCACGCCACTGCACTCCAGCCTGGGGGACAGAGTGAGACTCCATCTCAAGAAAAAAAAATGTATATATCATTTTAATGAATATTTTATTAACTAGAACATACCACTCCTTGACTGTATGCAGTAACAGAGCATTTATTGGACTACATTAAAGATAACTTTCTCAGAATAACCTTAGACCAGAGTTTTACTATTTCAATCTAAACCAAACATGAAAGATTGGCTTCTCTATCACTGAAGGGATGCGAGCTTTGGCCCCCAAAAATCTTCAGCAGTGTTGAAAGTTTCTGTTGACACGTGGTAATTGTGTACCCACCAGTAAAAAACACACATCTGGAGATGTTTAATCACTTGGAAAGATGTCAACCCAGTCAAGGTTATGGATAGAGGAAGCAAATGCCCTAGAAAATACAGGTAATACCAAAATATTTACAAAAGCAGACCTTCAACTGATCTCAGTTCTCATAGGCTGCCACCCACTTTGGTGAGTTTGTGTAGAAGGGAGAGGGGAGGTAGAAATCAAAGCCCAAGGCTGCATCTCCACACTTGGCGGCAGATGACACTGGAACTCAGGGTTCAGCTGTCAGCCCTGCATGTGTGTTTGTGTGCACAGAGGCATGCATTTAACAGACAGATACTCCCGAACCTTCGCTGACCCCATTACAGAAACAGACTGTGGATGATAGGCCGAATTTATTATTTTTTTCTAACAGAAAAACAAAAAAATTTTTAAGAATAGGTTCTCCTGTGTTGCCCAGGCTGGTTTTGAACTCCTGGCCTCAAGCAGTCCTCCCATCTCAGCCTCCCAAAGTGTTGGGATTACAAGCGTGAGCCACTGCACCTGGCCAACAGGCTGAATTTAGAACTATGTTTGGAATGATTTTGGTGTGAGTTTTTTTGGCCACCAACTCTATGGAAATTTCCTTTAAAAAAGTTTGATTTTATTAACCAAAACACCTGCCTTGATGTTTTAGTGATACTGCCTCTTAAAGATTACGGTGCTGTGAGAAGCAGTGGATAAAACTAAATTTTGTTTTAAACTCCCTAAAGGCAGAACTTAGATTTTCTTTTGATTGTTTTATGTAGGGCCTTATATCAAACCATTCTGAACCAGAGGGAAAATGACAGGGTTGACCAGCCAGAGAAATGAGATGTGTTTGAACCTGTTAAGCCACCTCTGTGAAAGGAAGGCAGGGAGTGTGTCCTCGTTGGAAAGTGACCTGTGACCCCCTTCTGCCCCAGGTGTTGTCAATGTCATGCTCTGGCTGCCACAACAGACTCTTAAATACATTCATACACTCATCTCGGTCTTGCAGGATTTTTTGTTTTGTTTTCTTAGACAAACAAGACAGGGTCTTGTTCTGTCACCCAGGCTCGAGTGCAGTGGCACAATCTTGGCTCACTGCAGCCTTGACCTCCTGGGCTCATGCTGTCCTTCCCCTCAGCCTCTCAAGTGGTTGGGACTACAGGCATGTACTACCATGCCTGGGTAATTTTTGTATTTTCTTTATAGAGCCCAGACTGGTCTTGAACTGCTGGGCTCAAGCAATCTGCCTGCCTTGGCCTCCCAAGATCTTGCAACTCTTAATCCATTCCTTGGCATGCTATATTACCCATGGGGTAAGCCTTCACATGGCTCACTGAGCTCTGCACGATATGGCTGCTGCTGCTCTCTCTGGGCTCTGCCTCTTCCCTCCCACCTCACCACACTCCAGCTATTTAAAAACACATGCTTTGAGTTCCAGGGATGTGCTCCGTTCTCTTGCCTCTATGCCTCTATATGTTATTTTCTTTGGAATGCCTGTTCCCCAGGGCCCTTTCCTTTCTCCAACTTCTTTCTTCAGCTCTGTTAAACATCCCTTCCTTAGGAAGCCCTCCCTGACCCCCCCGCCTCCCACACCTGCCGACTCTGGGCTGGGTATTCCTCCCCACCATGTTCCTGTAGTTACTCTGGTTCAGTCTGTTTCACGGTCTTGTTTCCCACTGGGCATGTGCTCTTTAAAGACAAGCTCTGACATAGATCCCCAGAACCTAGCACAGTGCCTGGCACGGAGAAGCTGCTTAAACAATCTTTTTTTTTTTTTTTTGAGATGGAGCCTCGCTCTGTTGCCCAGGCTGGAGTGCAGTAGCCGGATCTCAGCTCACTGCAGCTCCACCTCCCAGGTTTACACCATTCTCCTGCCTCAGCCTCCCGAGTAGCTGGGACTACAGGTGCCCGCCACCTCGCCCGACTAGTTTTTTGTATTTTTTAGTAGAGACGGGGTTTCACCGTGTTAGCCAGGATGGTCTCGATCTCCTGACCTCGTGATCTGCCCGTCTCGGCCTCCCAAAGTGCTGGGATTACAGGCTTGAGCCACCGCGCCCGCTCAACAATCTTTATTTAATGAAATAGTGTGCAATAAATGGCCAGTGGTGAATGTTCTGCTTCCCCCACAGAGATTCTGCATTTTAACCAGTGTCTTATGAAACCCAATGCCTTCACCCAGAAGCATGGATCAGTGCCAGCACTGGAGGACACTGGCAAAACATCTAGTTCAGTTGTCCCAAACCACTGTGCATCAGAATCACCTAGGGAGTTGAAAAAATTACAGCTCCCTAGGCCCTGGCTCCATGCAGTAGCCAGGAAGCTGTATTCATAAAACTCCTCCCAAGATTCTGAGGCAGACATTGGACTAATAGTTGGGAACCACTGATTTAGTCCAACTGACTCTTTGTACACATGGGAAGCCTGAGGCCTAGAGAGGTTAAGTGATGTGTGCCCAAGACTGTCCAGCTTATAAATAGCATAACCTGAAATGGAACATCTTTTTGCATATTAAAAATAATCTTTTTTGTACAGATGGAGTCTCAACTATGTTGCCCAGGCTAGTCTTGAACTCCTGGGCCCAAGCAATCCGCCTGCCTTGGCTTCTCAAAAGTGTTGGGATTCCAGGCTTGCACCATGGCACCCGAAATGAACATCTTTTTGTTTTGTTTTGTTTTTGAGACAGAGTCTCGCTCTGTTGCCCAGGTTGGAGTGCAGTAGCGCGATCTCAACTCACTGCAACCTCTACTTCCCAGGCTCAAGTGATTCTCCTGCCTCAGCTGCCCGAGTAGCTGGGACTACAGGCATGGGTCTGGCTAATTTTTGTATTTTTAGTGGGGACGGGGTTTCACCATGTGCCGGCTGGTCTCGAACTCGTGGCCTCAAGTGATCCTCCTGTGTCAGCCTCCTAAAGTGCTGGGATTACGGGCATGAGCCACCATACCTGGCCTGAAATGAAGCATCTTCTGATCTAAATTCTGGCTACAGAAGTCTTAGTCACTGTGGTGAGCCAGAGGCTGTGGGTAGGGGGACCCTCCAGAGGGAACGCCTCTTGCCCCAGCAAAGTGCCACCCAGGCCACCTTGGCAGCCTCTGCTACCTCTTCAGCTGGTCAGCTCTGCACCGCACCCCCCATGGAGTCTAGTATATATTTATACTTTTGTGTGTATATATTGACATATACAGAAGGAGCTCTTTAAGGACTTAATAACTTTCTGCTTCTCTTCAGAAAAGAAACGGGCAAAGGGACCTGAACAACCCACACCCCCAATTCAGGAAGAGCCTGAACCTGTTAGCAATGTCCTACAAGGAGATGACATTCTTGCTTTGGCCATTAAGAAGGAAGACTTGAAGGAGGTGAGGATGAAGCCTAAGCTTCCCTTATCATAGAAATGTTTCCCTGCCAGCAGCCTGAGTGGTCTAGAACACCAGCCATGTCCACTGTCTTCCCACCATCTCCCTACTCATGGGGAGTGTCTAACTCCATGCAAAAATCCACTGAACACAGATTCTTTTCACTTTACCACCTTAAGGAATTCACTGTGTTGTCTGTTTTAACATTTCTGAGATTCCTATAGAACCACGGGGGAAATGAGATGATGAGGTATCTTGTTCCCATAGAGGTAGGTGCCATCATTCCCATTTCACAGAAGGGAGAATGAGTTTAAGGAGCAAAGGTACAGCTCTGGGTAAAGCTGCTAAACCCTAACCCCATGCTTCACCTGGGAGAGTCAGCCACCTCTCACCTGAACTATCTGGAGGCATAAGATGTTCTTTTTTTTCCCTCCAGGATATTACTAAGTCACATATCTGTTACACAGGCATTTCCTCAACAGAACATATGGGCAGAGCTGAAGACACAGATCTGTCAGCCTTCAGGAACTCCACCTAGAACTAGAACGGAGGAGATGGGTGGTGCTCTTCCTCCTTCCACTACAGGTGGAATTCTCCTTTGTTTTATTTCTTTTTAGCAACATATTCCTCGCCTTACTGAAAAGGAAGATAAACGCGTCATTACCCAGAAATTTATCATCCGTAAACTCAAACCCACGGATCCTAGGAGGAAGGTCTGCCACCTTGTAGCACGTCCTGCAAATACCGATGCAGCCACAAAGCCTCTGGACTACTCTGGTACACCCAGTCTCAGCCCTGGCTTTACTGTCTTTCAACTCATGGGTCAACCTCAAGAGAAACCCAGTCTCCATCAGAAAGTTGCCCTCTTGAGAGTTGCCCACCCACAGCTTCTTTCCCCTTTCTTCTTTTATCCTCACAGGTCCCGGTGACAGCTTCGATGGCATTGACCAGATCCTGCCCCACCACATCTTGGGGAGTCTCCAGGACTTTAAGAGAATTGCACTTGCTCGAGGGAACACCCGGGTTTGTTTGCACAGAACTACCCGGATGACAGCAGTCACTGAAGTCATTTCGGTCTTCCACCTGACAGAGTCAAGCAGGGCTGGGGTTAAAGAGACAGTTTAGTCTCTAGGTTTCGAGTCTCAGTTGATAAGGGACCCTCTCCCAGAATAGTTAGACACTTCAGTTGCAAGGCACAAAAGACAGCTGAAGCTGGCTTCAGTGAAGTCGGGGATTTACTGTAAGGATTCCAGAGACTGCCTCATGGAACCCAAAGGTGGGAGTACCTGGGTCTGAGTAGACTGAACCCAGAAAGGCATCAGGACTCAGGGCCCACATGCCTCATTTCCTTCTGCTCTGTGCACTGTCTTGATTTTCCCTTCTCTGGAGACTGGCCTGCCCTCCTCACTCCACGTGGTGGAGGAAGGTGGCTTCCCATTGCTTCCTGGGCCATGGGAAGATTCTGTATCTTTTCAACCTTCCCATCATGCAGTGCTTCTCCTGTCTCTTCCCCTTGCTTCCCTGGATCCAGGCTGACTCTGGTCAGGCGCTAAGGGGCCTGGGGCCATATAAGAATGCTTCCATTTACACATGGGTGAAGGTGTCAATCAACGTCAGTTGTGAGGAGGACCAATAACACTAGAAGATGTTGACCCCAATCTTGAAACAGAAGTTCCCTTTCTGTGGGAGAAACCAGGGCACCCTGGTTCTGGGATTTATTTTCTGTCACTGGCTACCCTGGAGTCCTGAAGAGGAGAGATTCTCAGCACAGTGGGATAACAGCATGGGTTTAGGCCTCAGGAAATGTGTGCTCAGCTCCGCCCAGAGCCTTCTCACCGCCCTCCACATGCCTATGTTGTACTTTTCAGCTGGCTGAGCTGATACCTACCTCACCCTGTCTGATGACCCTCATCTCTGCTAAAGGAGAGTCAAAGCAAAAAGCCCCAAAAGAAGAGAAGAGACCTCCCTGGGCCCCACCTCCTCAGCACAACTTTCTGAAAAACTGGCAGCGTAACATAGCCCTGCGGAAGAAGCAGCAGGAAGCCCTCAGTGGTGAGCAGAGCAGACAGGGCTCCCGCCCAGCCTCCATCTGGCGCAAGGCTCTGCTGGATTGTTTACTCCTCCAGAGCCTGGCCTCGGGCTGACCACATTTGTGCTGTTCACTCCCAAGAGTGTCTCACTCTGAAGCTTCAGTGGGTCCTGAAATCAGCCCCGTGAGGGAGGCTGCCCGATGCAGACTGCCAAGGCCCCTGTTTGTTCTGGTTTGGCAGAGTGGCTGCAATCTTGCCTCTCTCTCTAGAACACCTAAAGAAGCCGATCAGTGAGCTGCTCATGCACACTGGGGAGACCTACAGACGGATCCAGGAGGAGCGGGAGCTCATTGACTGCACACTTCCAACGCGGCGTGATAGGAAAGTGAGGCCACCTGTCCTAAGTGCCCGGGGGGCAGAGGGTGGCACGGAGGAGGGGGGTGGGGGGCAGGTGTCTGGACACAGGGATGCTGGTTTCAGGTGGCACAGCTGGGGAGAAAAAACCTATCCATTGCAAAGCATCATTAAGCCCTCAAGGCCTTTACTAAATTCTGTGATTAGTCAGTAAAGTTATTCAGCCTGTGGTGGCCACACAGGTAGCGAGTTATTAGAGTAGTCTTAGTGTTTGTCTCCTAGGAGCTTAGACTGAGTGGAGCCTACACCCTAAGGAGAGAGGCTGAAGAGTTCCCCCGTCTTTGTTCTGGTAGACCAGTGCAGTACCTGTACCAACCCACACCATCTGGCTGGGGGCTGGTAAAGATGACAACAGGGTGTCCAGAAAACGCGGCAGTGGATGCTTCTGTTCTGCAATCATGGCAGCAGTGAATTCCCCAGAGGGAGCATCTGTAGCCTGTGGTGGTGCTTGTCTTCCCACATCTCCACCAGCATCTGGCTGAGGTGTCCAGGTAATCTGACTCACCTTTCCTTCCTTGCCAGAGCTGGGAGAACAGTGGGTTCTGGAGTCGACTGGAATACTTGGGAGATGAGATGACAGGTCTGGTCATGACCAAGACAAAAACTCAGCGTGGCCTTATGGAGCCCATCACTCACATCGGGAAGCCCCACTCCATCCGGGTGGAGACAGGTGAGGCGCAGGGCTGTAAGCCAGCTGGCATCTTGTGCCTGGCCCAGAGGCAGGGTAGTGTGGCAGTGGCCAGCATGGCTCTACAGTGCGGCCCAGGGCCTGTTTCTCTGTGGCCTTAGGCAAGTCCCAGAGTCTTCCTGAAGTCTGGCTCCCTCTTCCTTTTCTTCAGTAAAACAGTGAGAGAGCTAGGAGACTGGAGTGCAGCCACAGAGCTGCCGTCCAGTGTGGAGCCTTGAGCTGCATGCCGCCGGTGAGCACCTAGACCGTGGCTGCCCTGCACTGAGAAGTGCTGTCAACTGGACACTGGCTTTAGTGTGAAAACAATATATTTTATTAATCATTTTTATATTGATTACATGTCAAAATGACAATATTTTTTATATACTGAGTTAAATAAACTATATTACTAAAATGAGGCTGGGCACAGTGGCTCACGCCTGTAATCCCAGCACTTTGGGAGGCTGAGGCAGATGGATCACTTGAGGTCAGAAGTTCAAAACCAGCCTGGCCAACATGGTGAAACCCCATCTCTACTAAAAATACAAAAATTAGCTGGGCATGGTGGTGCGTGCCTGTAATCCCAGCTACTTAGGAGGCTGAGGCAGGAGAATTGCTTGAATCTGGGAGGTGGAGGTTGCAGTGAGCCAAGATCATGCCACAGCACTCCAGCCTGGGCAACAAGAGCAAAACTCTGTCTCAAAAAATAAATAAATAAATAAAATAAACTATATTACTAAAATGAATCCCACCTGTTTCTTTTTTCCTTTTTCAGTGTGGCATCTAGAAAACTTTCAGTGACACATGTGGCTTGTGTTTGTGGTTTGCATCCTGTTTCTCTTGAGCATATCTGCTTTAGAGCTTGCCAGGCTGCCTGGGTTCAGGTCCCAGCCATGTCGTGTTAGTGAACCCCAGAGTGGTTGAACCCCTCTGGCCTGTAGTTTCCTTATCTGTAAAATATGCACAGAGTTGTGATAGGGCTAAATGAGATATGAAATGTATTAAGTTCTGACTCATTGTTAAGCACTCAATAAAAGGTAGCTGCTATTATCATTTTTACTATAATCCAAAAATTTGGCTATTTGGAAGCTAATTTTGCAGGAGTCTTGTGTAGGGCTGCTGAGGAGATACGGGACAGGAGAGCGGAGTCCAGCTGCTGCAGGGAAGCTGTATTTTTCATCCTTCCTAGAAATGGTGTTGGGATAGGCACTCTCAGAGCCCTTGAGAAGTGGGTGAGCAAGGGGGCATGGCAGCAGCCTGTGTTGAGGGTCCTTGGACCTCATGCTAGGATTACCAGCCCAGAGGGACGCTTCATACCGCTACACCTGGGATCGGAGTCTATTTCTGATCTACCGACGCAAGGAGCTGCAGAAAATCATGGCAGAGATGGATTTCAGCCAGCAGGTTAGTATGGCCTCCATGCCCCAGTCAGAAGCCTCTTGGGGCAGTGCCTGTCTTCAGTCAGCTCTTCTAACCTTTCTCCATCTCTCGGAGGATATTGATGGCCTGGAGGTGGTGGGCAAAGGGCAGCCCTTCTCAGCTGTTACTGTGGAAGACTACACAGTGTTTGAAAGAAGTCAGGGAAGCTCCTCTGAAGAGACAACATACTTGTGAGTGCAGCCTGAACCCGGGGGAGGGAGGCTGAAGAGTTCTCCAGCAACTACCAGTATGAAAGAGCAGGCTTCCCTCCCTGAGATCAGGGTGCCTCCAGCCTAGCTTCTCTCCAGTGGTTGCCACCCACTCCTTGAACCCATTCCAGCAGCTGTGCTAGCTTTCCTGTTGCCACCTGCTCCTTTCCAACAACTAACTCCTAATGGGGATTTCCCAGACATTCCCTTGCTGGTCAAGTGAGGGCTCTCTAGACCCTCCCACTGCTGTGCATCTTGAATGCCTCTGGCATGGGGAGTCTATGTATTTCTGTGTACCACGAATAGCTCTGGCAGGAGGGCTTGAAGAGTCTGTGTGTTTCTAAGAACCTCCCACCTAGAGCAATGGGTCAGGAGGAAGCTGCACAGGAGTGGAGTTGATCATACTCCATTGCAGGGTGGAGCTGGTTGTGTTTCTAGGCTTCCTGGTGACCATTTCTGTGGGTTCCACATGGCATGACTGGCAGCCTAAGAGAAAATAAGTCATTGGCTTTTCTTACAGAGGCACATTGGCAAGTTCCTCTGATGTCCCCATGCCTATTCTCGGCCCTTCTCTTCTGTTCTGTGGGAAGCCAGCTTGCTGGATCAGAGGCAGTAATCCACAGAACAAGGTAAAACTGCCTTCACCGCACCTGCTGGGAGGGCCTCCCTCGGGGGTGCAGCCCCGAGGTGTCTGTGGCAGTTACCAGCAGCCTGCACAGTCTCCTGTTTGCGTTTTTATCTGGTCGTGCATTCAGCTTATCTGAAAATGGTGACAGCAATACTAACTTGAGCAAGAATAAAATCACAAGGCTGCAGACTGTCATAAGCCACTTGGGGCTTATACCTAGCCCCCAAGCATGTAAACAAGCAAACTCTCTCAAGTAGGTATGGCTCTAAGAAGGTTCTAAGATATTCTTCAGATGCTAAGGAATAGAAATGTTTATTGGGTATAAAATATATTTTATCTGACCAGGCGTGGAGGTTCACGCCTGTAATCCCAGCACTTTGGGAGGCTGACGTGGCTGGATCACCTGACATCAGGAGTTCAAGACCAGCCCTGGCCAACATGGTGAAACCCTATCTCTATACTAAAAATACAAAATAGCAGGGCGTGGTGGCGGACACCTATAATCCCTGCTACTTGGAAAGCTGAGGCAGGAGAATTGCTTGAACCTGGGAGGCAGGGTTGTAGTGAACTGAGATCACACCATTGCACTCCAACCTGGGTGACAAGAGCGAAACTCTGTCTCAAAAAAAAATTATATATAAATATATATATAATTATATTTATATATATATTATCTTCTCTTCTTACTATTGAGGGTAACCTCAGAGACAACCACATTGGAGTAGGATATCACTCTGTGTGACAGTGGCCAAGCCCTGGAGGCCTGGGACACGAGACTTGCAGTGCTAAAGCCAGAAAAGTCCTGGGCAGACCAGATGAGTTGCTCACTCTAGGCCAGGGTCTCCAGCAAAGACATTTGTCCCTTCTCCTTCCAGAGGCAGGTCGGGATTGCTGTTCACTTGACCTTTGAAACCCTAGAAGGCGAGAAAACCTCCTCAGAACTGACTGTGGTCAATAATGGCACCGTGGCCATTTGGTATGACTGGCGACGGCAGCACCAACCGGACACTTTCCAAGACCTGAAGAAAAACAGGATGCAGCAATTTTACTTTAACAGCCGGGAAGGTACTTGGGAGAAGCCACCCTACACGCTGGCTCCTGTCTGGGGCTGGTTTTATCCTCATGAGACATCAAAATTTAGTTATGACCCAGCTCCTGTAAGTTTGAGTCCCTCTCATTCCTTCCGTAAAATGTGTGGCCTGACTATTCATGTCTGTTGAGAGACTGATGGAACTTGAGAACCCGGGGACGTGAGCCACCAGGGAGCAGAAACGTTCTAGGGGCTCAGTTATCTAGATGCACAGGCCTGGAGCTAGGGTGGCCAGCTGTCTCCGTTTGCCTGGGACTTTAGCACTCAAAATCCCCCTTTCCAGGAAACCTCTCAGCCCTGGGCAAACTGGGATGGTTGGCCAGTCACCTGGCCTGGGGCTCAGTTAACTGCATGTAGCAGCATACAGGTCTGGGGCTCAGCCAGCTCCTGCATGTTGAAAACCTCAGTCTCTGTCCCTCTCAGGTGTGATTCTGCCTGGAGAAACTAAAACCTTTACCTTCTTCTTCAAGTCTTTGACTGCTGGGATCTTCAGGGAATTTTGGGAGTTTCGAACCCATCCTACTCTATTAGGAGGTGCTGTGCTGCAAGTCAATCTCCATGCAGTCTCCCTGACCCAGGATGTTTTTGAGGATGAGAGGAAAGTACTGGAGGTAAGGGACCCAGGACCATGGCCGCTCTGAGCATCGGCTAGGGTATCCTGCTATTCTTCCTGGCAGTGCCTGCAGGGATGGTATTTCTCCCAGCCTAAGAGGAGAACTGAATTTTTAGCAAACAGGTAACTACTTTTGCTCCACGAACACTTCCCAGGGTTTGTGATGTAAAAGATGGGTGCACTGGCTAGGCAGGTGAGGAGCAGCTTGCAGCAATGCCATGCATGGCCCCACTGAGTTAGAAAGAAATTAGACTGAGCCTAAGAGGCAGACTGTGTAAAGTACAAATAATGCATGGCCCTATGCACTGGTCTGTGTTTTGTTCATCGCTGTCTAGTACTATACAGTGGAGTTGCGTTTAACTGACAAGACTTCAAAACCAGGGATAATAATTAATAAATAGCAGGGTGAGTCTGCCCACCGTCCCACTCAATCAGCTGACAACTCTGGAGTGAGTGTGAGGTGGGAGCTGGGAATCTGTTCCCCCGAATCAGTTTCACAGTGTGGCCATCTGAGCCATGCATCCTGGGATTTGGTAGAAAGCTGCGCTTTTTTATTTTTTGTGGTCCCCAGTCACAAGGCCGGCTCCTTCAGCTGGAGCTCAGCCAGTGGTGATCAAAGGTCATTTTGACAATGTCATGCTTGCTTTACTCACTGACTGTAGCACTCATGTCTCACACAAGGTGCCCCTCCCCTGTGTTTCTGTGACACTGACTAAAGCCTGATGAAGGTTCACCACCATCCTCAGAAGCACCCCCACTGTGTGCCCCACCCCTTCTTCCTAATCTGGTGACATGCTAACTGCATGACCACCAGGCCCCAGGCAGCAGCAGCCTTCCCTGGAACTGGCCCTCCTCTGGATCCTTTTCATCCATTTTAAGGAACAAGGATGTCTGGAGAGATTCAGAGGCTTTCGGGTCTTAGAACAGGCGTGTGTGTGTGTGTGTGTGTGTGTGTGTGTGTGTGTGTGTGTGTGAGAGAGAGAGAGAGAGAGAGCGCCAATGCCAGGAACTCAGACCCTAGGAAGGCACAAAGTCCTGGGGGCTCCAACTTCCTGAAGGATGCATGGGTTTTGAGAGCCTGGGCTGCCATCCTCTGCCACCTTCCCATTTGCAGAGCAAACTGACGGCCCATGAGGCAGTCACCATCGTTCACGAAGTGCTGCAGGAGGTGCTGATGGGGGTCTTGACCCCGGAGCGCACACCATCACCTGTGGATGCCTATCTCACCAAGGAAGACTTGTTCCGACACAGGAATCCTCAGGTGAGGCCCAGCACCGGCCTCTGTCCCATCATGTGTGCCCTGAGTCAAGGGTCCCCAACCCCCAGGTCGCACAGCAGCAGGTGAGCAGTGGGTGAGCCAGCATTACCGCCTGAGCTCTGCCTCCTGTCAGATCAGCAGTGGCATTAGATTCTCATAGGAGCGCAAATCTTATTGTGAACTGCACATGCGAGGGATCAAGGTTACACACTCCTTATGAGAATCTAACTAATGCCTGATGATCTGAGGTGGAACAGTTTCATCCTGAAACCATTCCCCTACTCCCTGCCATCCGTGGAAAAATTGTCTTCCATGAAACCAGTCCCTGGTGCCAAAAAGGTTGTGACTGCTGCCGTAGGTGAGAGTAATAGCAAACTCTTCTATGTGTCAAACTCTGTTCTGCACATCTTCCATGAATACCTCACCTCTCCTCACAGCAGTCCTATGAGATGGGTACTACTTATTTTTATTTATTTATTTTTTAGAAATAGCATGTCACTCTGTCACACTCCAGGCCAGAGTATAGTGTCCCCACTCATAGCTCACTGTGACCTCAAACTCCCCAGCTCAGGTGATCCTCCCACCTCAGCCTCCTGAGTAGCTAGGACTACAGGCATGCATCACCATGCTCAGCTAATTTCTCTCTCTTTTTTTTTTTTTTTTTTTTGGTAGAGATAGGATCTCTCTCTGTCACACAGGCCAGTCTTGAACTCCTGGGTTCAAGTGATCCTCCTACCCTGGCCTCCCAAAGCACTGGGATTGCAGGCTTGAGCCATTGGTCCTGGTACTATTTACATCCTCATTTACATTGAGGAAACTGAGGCCCAGAAAGATGAAGTAATTTGCCCAGGGTAATTTTGCTAATAAGTGGATTCCTGATGAGAACGGAGCTTCACAACTCCTTCATTCAAACCCAGGCTTCCTTGGAAGCCCAAATGCAAAAAAATAGCTTCAACTTGGAGGTTCCCAGGTTGAAAAGGAAGTAGGGGGCCCCTCTGGCTGCAGCCCTCCTGCTGGCTTCCTCCCTGCCTCCTCCATCAGTGCTCTCAGGGGAATGGGAAGAAGCCAGGTCCAGCTGGCATCGGCTCCGGTGCCTGCACCCCAGCCTCTCCCTCACAAGCCTTCCCATCTTCTGCTGCAGCTGCATTACGAGCACCAAGTGGTGCAAAGCCTGCATGAACTGTGGCGCCAGTACATGACTCTGCCCCCCAACGCTGAGGAGGCCAGGCCAGGGGACAAGGAGCACGTCAGCCCCATAGCCACAGAGAAGGCCTCTGTGAATGCCGAGCTCTTACCGCGCTTTAGGAGCCCCATTTCTGAACCTCAAGTGCCCCAGCCTGAGAACGAGGCCCTCAGGGAATCCGGATCCCAGAAGGCCAGAGTGGGAACCAAGAGTCCTCAGCAGAAGAGCATCGTGGAGGAGATCCTGGTGGAGGAAAGCCCAGATGTGGACAGCGCCAGGAGCCCCTGGGAGCCGGATGGCCTTCCCCTGCTGGAGTGGAATCTCTGCTTGGAGGATTTCAGAAAGGTGCTTCCAAGACCCTGGAAGGCGTTGGTAGAGAATATTCCTGTCTCGAACCAACAAAGGAGGCCCCAGTAGCCCCTCTTGCTCCATGGGCAAAGAAACAAAATCTGA